AGGGAGGGCAGGGACAAGGGGAAAAATGATAATCAGGATCTATTATGTAAAGGTGCAGAATCCCAATGATGAATGTAATTGTATTGTATACCTAGATTGTACCAATAACCTCAATAAAAAGAAAAAATAAAAAAAAATAAATGTAAACAATTTTATAAAAACATGGATATTTTTAAAAATAGAAATGTATGATCTAAAGAAGAATAATTCCTGAAGTTAACAAAATCTAAACTCTGTTAAGAGCAATTATCACTTTGGGTATGCAAATTAGTTTCTGAACCTCTCTACTAAAGGTAAAGAAGAGTATCAGCTGAATATCCCTTTCTTATGCTAACACCTCATAAAAATTTATAACTATAAAGCTACAAGATCCCAATGATGAATGTAACTGTACTGTATACCTAACATATACCAATAAACTCAATGAGAGGAAAAAAATTTTTAACTAAAATAATACAAGGAAATGTATTCATTCCAAGAAATAGTATCCAAAATTATGTAAATGCACACAATTTTAATTTTACTGTAAAGATGCTTGCTTTTATCCCCCCTAAAAGTGCAAAGAAGAATTTTGCAAAAATGGTAGAGTGAAGGCTCATCCCTGACCTTTAGCTGGATATCCTGGAGTAAGTGGGTCACCAGCTCCATTCAGATTTAACACATTTCCTCTCTGGGCTGCAGTTCCAGGAAGGTTCCATCCTCTGGGATATGGCTGTATCCCAGGGGCAAAGTAGTCAGCTGGATCTGAGTACAAGATGATTCCTATGGCTCCAGCTAGCATAGCATTTTTAACCTGCAGGAGCAATGTGAATCCATGATACAGATATGGCAAATGAATGGCTTATTAGTGTAAAAAATAATTTAATAATGTGAGGAAAGCCAGGTGTGATGGCGCAGGCCTGTAATCTCAGCACCTGGGAGCCTGAGGCCAGAGGATTGCCTTGAGTACATAACTAGACTGAATTATATAACAAAGGAGGAGAGAGGAGGGGAGGGGCAGAAAGGGGGGGAGAAGAGAGGGGATGGGGGGGAGAGAAGAAAATTGAGATATCTGTTTATATCATGCCATGACATGCACAGTAGTCTTTGCTTTGAAAACAGTTTCCTCTTGGTAGACCTAAAAACATGGTTTTTTTCAATCACCTCTTCCATGAAAAATTCCTATTTTCCTAAATGTGCAAAATTAATGTCTCCTTTCTTCTTTGTATTTCTTGATTTTATACATTTTATCATAGGACAGATCATAGAGCACTCAAGTATCTTTTAAACGTCTCTCTTAAATACTGAGGGAGTTATTAAGAACACAAACCATCCCTTCCTCACTTTTAACTACTGGCACTCCAAATTTCATACATCATAAAGTAAGAAATTTAAAATATCTGTGAAATTAAACTGATTTAAAATTTTATACAGAACATTCTTAGTGTGTAAAAAATTATCTAAAGTGTCTTTGTAAGCATCTTTCTAATAATCCAAACTGGTTAAGCATAGGAAATTATATCCTGCAAAATACTGAATTCTTGTACTGTGTACTTCAAAAGTACCAATAACCTCAATAAGGTTAAAAAATAATAAAATACTGAATTCCTCATTATCAGAAGTACTGTAGCAATAGATAGGTAAATACCAGTCTTGACTCACTAAGAAGTATTCCAATATTGAAAAAGCACTCTCTAGCAGCAGTGGAAGTATATCTTGAAATTGTTTGGAAAGTCAACTTGATTGTCTTTATCAAAATTTCGAAAGAACATACACTATGGTTCAGCCATTCCATTTCTGAAAACCTATACTACAAAAATCTTTACACAGTATGATGCATATATAAAAAAGAATGTTTATTGTAGAAAAAATTGCAGTAAAAATTTCAAGACAAGATAAATATCCATCAGTGAAGATGATTAAATAAACAGCTTATTGGTGCTGTAAAATATCTTGCCACCATCTAAATTAAGTATTTAATAAACAGCTGTACAGCAATTATTGATACCAGCCACTCTCCTAAGTGCTTTTAAATATAGCAATTTAATTCTAAGAATGATTCTGTGAGATTGGTGCTATTATTGAGCATTTCCATTTTGTACATAGAGCAACTACGGCACAGAGAGGTTAAGTAACTTGCTCACAGTAAAGACAACAAAGAAAGGCCCTGAACAGAACCAGGTGGCATGGATCTACATTCTTAAACTCTAAACTACTACACTATGTTCTAAAACTCTCAGTGTGCTCACAGAAGACTATCCATGAATAACGGTGGAACACAGACATAAATGCATGTTACATGCAGTATATAATGACCTCTCTTAAAACAAGAGTAATTACATTTATGCATATAATGTAGATACATATAGATATATATTCCTATTATACAGAATTAGATCTGGAGAGAGCTATTATGATTGATTATATTTGAGCAAGAAAACTGGATAATATTGAGGCAGAGTTTCATTTTTAGTTTATGTAAATTTCAATTAAATTTTTAAAAGCAAACATTACTTTTATAATAAAAATAATTTTGTTGATAGGTGAGGAAACATAGAAAAAAACTCTCTGTGCACCCATGGAAAACAGCAAAGAAAATAACTTTTAAAGCAATTTTGGAATACTCTCTTCTCTCCTTCCCTCTAGAAAAATAATACCATACTTTATTTCCTCTGAAGATCTTCCCATATCTGGCAATGACAATCTTTCCAGTGCAGTTGATGTTCATCTCCCTTTCTAGTTTGAAAAAGTCTTCAGTACGAGCATAATTCACATATACCAGATCTCCCTCCAGAGAAAAGAAAACAAAATACCAAAATTAAAGAGACAACAAAAGGTAAATTTTGTTGTACAAAACTGCATCGATGAAAATCTTATTTTTGTATTTCAAATTAATAATCAGACATTTGAAAAGTCTGGCAAAGTCTTCAGAAAATCTTTCAAAATCCAGAAGTTAAAGAAAAAGACAATGTATAAGCTATCTTTTGAATAGTGTGTTCTCTTTTGAAGAAATTATTTCTATATACTGAGACACAAGAATTAGAGTAATGTCATTTAAAAAAGCATTATGTTTAATTTTCAACCAGACATTAAAACTTCTGTGGTATATGACCTATAACAACAGATTTATACTTCTGTAAAAATTTGAGATTAATGGAAGAAAGTTTTTAAAAACATCTATTGCCTTTAGTGAATTAAGTGTTCAAAAGTTTATTATTTCAAAGAATAGCATCTGCTTCATTAGGATCTGTTTTTAATGTTTTTATTTTCTTCTTTTCTTTTCCTGGTAGTCTTTTCTGTTTTGTAAAAAAAAAAAAAAATTATTTTGATTTTTGACGAGTGTTCATAGTATAGAAAGTTAAGCCATGGGTGATCATATATAATTTCCAAGTGAAATTCCCTTGGTTATATTCTGATACATGAGGTTTTATACAAAGAAATACTTAAAAGACTTGGATAAAACAGTGTCTTTCATTTTACCTCTGGAATGCCTTGGGGTGAAAAAGCGTTATATGGTGGCACAATATTTGTAATATTCTCATATCCATCTGGTGGTGGTTCAAGGTATGACGTTTTAAAAATCTAGCAAGAAATAAAATATAAGGTTTGAGAGAATAATTCCAGATTGTTATTAAGGCATAATGAATTATGAAGTATACATTGAAGATTAAGCATACTGAAACTAAGGTCTGTAATTAAATAGATACATTCTGCTGACAACAATGAGAAGGAACTTTATTCTTATTGTCTTCAAAATAAGAGAAACTTTACAACTAACTGCAATCCTAGGTAACTGAAATCTCTCTTATAAAGTGTAAATATCAGACTTAAAAGGCGCTCTCAGGCTGCAAGTATCCCTAGCACCCCCCTACACACACACACATACACACACACACACTGCTGGCAAAAGTACCACTCTTATTTTCTACTTTTTCTTCTTTCTTTGTGATGCACTTTTGTCTCATCTTCATTTTAAAGTTGTCCCTAGCCCATTGCTTACCTCTGTATTCCTGCCCTGTGACATTTCATTGACTGTGAAATTTTGACAATAGTAAATATATTTATGATGTCTAGTTTTTCATACTTATATATTTAATAGCCTGATGTTTATTTAGCTCTGATTTCCAAATGCAACATGTTAAAATTTATCTTTGGGGCTGGGCATTTAGCTCAGTGGCACTGCACCTACCTTGCAAGTACAAGGTCATGAGTTCGATCCCCGGTACCAAAAAATAAAATTAATTAATTAATTAATTCAAATAAAATTAACCTTTTATCAATCCTAGGCCTCCTTCTGGCTCTTGGCTTCTAACCCCATAAACAGCCTAAGTTGGCCACCCGTATTAAACAGTCCAGGAGTCCCTGAAAGCCTTTTTTTTCATTTCTTTCCTCCACTCACTGATCAACTCCTGCTGATACATTTCCTTTTTCAACTTTTTACTTCATTTCTGGTAATATCTTAATTCAGGACTTCATCATCTTTGTAGTAATTATTAAGATTGTTAGGGGCTGGGGATTTGGCTCAGTGGTTCGGTGGCCTGCCTGGCAAGCACAAGGACCCAAGTTCAATCCCCGGTACCAAAAAAAAAAAAAAAAAAAAAA